TCTGGCGACAGGTAAGTCGCCAGGATCACTTCTGTTGTAAAGCTGACAGTCGGCTTTACAAGTTTAAACAGAGTCCCGGCGGCAAAAGTCACCGGGAGTCTGTTTAAACAGCCCCGATGCTGGCGACGTACACTGTACGTCGTCAGTCACGAAGGGGTTAAAATAAGGTTTTAAAGTTGTTTCAAATGCTGATTAAAGGAGAACTATGAGGTGATCTACCCTCAGAGTTAGAGCCGACGTATGACATTGAAACTGTCACAGGTCGGCTCTATTGATCGGGCAGTGAGAGAACACATACCGACGCTCGCTCACTTCCCCATCATCTCCCTGCAGAGAGCGGTGACTGTCAGTCATCACTCCCCACAGGGATTCCCCCCCTCCCCTCTCCCATCCTCCAGCACTCACTAGAGAAACGGACGGGGAGGGGATGCACACAGCTGGCTCTGTCTCTAGGCACAGCCAGCTGTCAATCAGCCAGCTGGGTGGATCTCAACAGTATTGTCAGGATCCGTCCCGGCTGCGGCGCTCTCAGTATATCTCGCTATATACCGAGCTTTGGGTCACGGATGGAAGTTAGCATATGTCCTCCCGTGACCCTAAAAAGAACTATGGGATAAAAAGGTTGCCCCATTGTTCTCTTTTAAATCACTTAAAATTGATGTTTTAGTTTCCTGTAGAATCAGCAGATCCCCTGAGCACTGGCCCTGATATCCTGTTTTAGGGTGGCTATTTTCCTTTGCAGGATCCTATGGAGCCACCCATGTGTGTGCCAGTAAGCTGTGTGTTTTCACAAACATACAGGCACAGCAAGGCAACACACTCCCCTGCTCGTCCTTCCTCCCTTCTCCAAGCTAGTAGATGGATTGCTATTGGAGACTTCTCTGTCCCTTGTGATCTTGTAGTGCAGAGGAAGTTCAAGGAAGCCAAGTTGAGAGAGTTAGAGCTGTTCAGAAACATGGTCATTGTAAGTGCTTGGGAAAAAATGTCAAGAAATAGATTGCTGGGTAACGTATATTTGTTATATCTGGATTTATTATTGAAAAAAAAATAGAGTTTAATAATAGTACTATTTTAAATTCTTATTTCTTATGGTCTCCAGCTCCATCTCCTGGCCATAATATTTTACTAATTTACTGCAATCCTTTGAAACAATTACATTCCACCTGGCAAGAACATATGCTAATAACATTTATAGTATGAATGGCACTGCAAATGTTTTATACGTACGCCCTTAAAGAAGAACTCTGAGAATTAAAAAAATATACCCATGCAGTTGGGCTACCCCCGTACTGCAAGGGTTAAGTGCTCATTTTGTCTAGGGGTCTCAAATAAAGTAGACATACTCACCTGATTGTTGGTCCCATCGGTTCCCACTGCCTCTTCTTCCCTGGGCTCCGGCTGTCTAAGGACCGCTGACATCATCACATCCAATTCACGCCCATTGACCTGCATTAGATGTCAGAATGATGAGCAAAATATCACAGCTGGAGTGGAGGAGGGGAGTGCTGACCATCACGGGACCGAGGATCAGGTGACTAAATCTGCTTTATTTGCGTCCCCTAGACAAAAAAGCACTTAACCTTTGCAGTTGCAGATCTGGAAGCCCCACTACAAGGGTATGTTTTTTAAATTCCCAGAGTTCTTTTTTAAGACTTCTGTCATTCGCTACATTTTACAGTTAGCCCTCATTCACACGAGAAACGGCCGGCCCGTATAGATCTGTGCTACGTGCTGGGACACCTGCACCCGTACAGACGTGCACGTCGGGTGAGCGTAGGGGGGCGTAGGGCCGCGTACTCTCATGGTGAAGGACGGGCTGCTGCGTACAATCACACGCTGCACTTGTCCTTCCCGGGAGCGGCCCGATACGGCCGTGCACGCAGCGCGGATCTGTACGGGCCGGCCATTTTTCGTGTGAATGAGGGTTTAAAAGTAAACCTGCCAAATGCAGAAGATTCTATTGCATAATATGACCTCTGTTCTTTATGATTTAAAATAGTGTTAAAGTAAGTTTCGATTTTTTGTTACATATATCTACTGCTAGCAAGCACTAGATGTATGCAAAAACATTAAAAAAAATGAAAAAGTTGGCAAATAGTTAAAGGAGAACTATGGGGTTAAGGCTTTTCCCCATAGTTCTCCTTAGGGTAACGGGAGGACACAAACTAGCGTCCTCCCAGGCTCAGCTCGCGGTATACTGAGACGCCGCCGCAGCTGAAGCGGATCCCCTGAAGCGGATCAATTATGCCGGGATCCGCCCAGCTGCGTGACTGAGCCAGCTGTACCCGCCCCCTCCCCCATCCGTTCCGCCAGTCAGCGCTGGCGGATCGGAGCGTGGAGGAGGGAATCCAGCCCCTCCCCTATCACGGCAGAGAGCTGTGATAGGATTGAGAAGTGAGCGAACATCGGTATGTGTTCGCTCACCTCCCGATCTACTGAGCCGACCTTTGACAGTCTCATTGTCACAGGTCGGCTAGAACTATGAGGTGAGTGAAAAGCACTCACCTCATAGTTCTCCTTTAATAAATTACCTGTGTCTATGCCGCTCGCTCCCGGCTGTAGAACACAGCTTCCTGAACGACCGTGCAGGAGGAAGTGTGTGCGGGCGCATGTGCACTCCATGAGGAGTGACTCAGTGTGAGTGAATGCACGCAGCCAGGAGCGTGCACGTAGGACAGACTCCGTGGGACACAGAAGACATAGGAGTCTGCGCTGGATCAGAGAGCGGCACCAGCGTTGGAGGGAGTGTTGGAAACGAGTGGAAGGAAGTAGATGTTCGCATCAAGAGGCATCACGTAAGGTAGATCTTGGTTTGTCCCGACTGTGACACCTGTGAGTTCCCAGACTGGATGCCGACCTCCTGCTGAATCTGGGCTCGCTACAGGCACCATGTCACTCCTTGTCCTGCTACACGCTGTCTTACAATTCAGGGTGCACTGGACAGGAGGTGCGGGGAAGCCCTCTCATCATTCGGCCTCCACCAGGTGGGTGACACCTCACATCTCTCCTGGGAGGCATGTTGACATCATCTGCCCCCTTCAGAAACATTGAAAGCTGAGCCCAGGGTTTCTTAAAGTGCAAACATTATTTTTTGATTACTTTTTAAAGCAATTTGAGGGGGGATGAGGGGGCTGTAAGTAAAGTGGTCCTTCCATAGTAAGGAATTCAGGGTATCATATTATACACGGTACCGAGGGATCAAAACCGCTTTCCAACTCAAAGACTCTCATGTGAATGTTAAGCTTCTAGAAGAAGAAGTAAGCATTTTGAATCCCTGAATTCCTGATTTTAAGGAATTTGTCATGTGAGTCTGTAATAATGTTTGTTAACTGTTCACTACCTAGGAAGATCTCCACAGAAAGTAGCAGAGGCTTTTAATAGTGTCCAGCACTCACCTCTCTCCCCCTCTGCTCCAGCTATAGTATGTCCCTTTCTGTCCTCACGTCTATTGCACCTGCATTAGACGTGATGACATCAGTGGTCCTTAGACCACCAGAGCCTGCAGGAGAAGAAGCTGCAGCGACCGATTTAATTGCCAGGCAGGACCGAGAACTGGGTGGGTTTATCTGATTTATTTGGGCTCCCTAGACAAAACGATAGGGATGCACCAATAACGTTTTTTTCGGTATCGAGTGCCGATATTTATCTTTCGGTACTCGCCGATGCGGAATACCAATACTGGTGCTTCCATTACCCGCAACCTTGCTTCCTGGTTGGCCAGGAAGCTAGCTCCATGCTGTTTGGCCGGCTCAATGCTCATTTGGCGGAAAGCTGACTTCCCGGCCAATCAGGAAGCTGGGCGGTTGGTCATTACATTACATGCTGTTTGGCCGGCTCAATGATGATTGGCTGGGTAGTTGGCTCCATGTTCCCTCGCGGCACTGCCGGTCAGAGGAAGTATCCCTCTGACCAGAAGTTCCAGTATCAGGGCTAAATATCGGAGCATTTATCATTCATCTATCATTATGTTGATACTGGTGTCCAATGGGCAAAACAAAAAAAATGCTTGAAGCTTGAAAAGCACTTAAAAAATACACACAAGTTTGAAAATCTCCAAAAACTGAAGTATGAACGGGGGCGAAATCTGCTCATGCCAGCAGGCGCGCGCGATACTGCACAGAATGTGTATACGCTGGTGTGCGTTGTGGGGGCAGCGCACTGCTTTGTTAAAATGAATAGTTTTGACTTTTTTAAAAACTTTATTGAAATGTCACAAAATGAAACTTTATTTAATTCCATGCGCATTATTGGTGCGTTGAATAGCGTTTTATGCATTGCGCTGTGCAAAAAGGCAGAAATGTTGCATTTTTCACACAGCACACTTCAATTGTGTGAACAGGTCACACAGAGAATTGTTTCCGATGTGTTCTTGTTTCTAGCCAGCACTGATCAATACACATAATGTGAATGACCCCCAACAGCCAGACACCCAGTATTTTTAGAAGGTCACCCATGACAACCTTCATGTTTTACACATGGCTTGTTTCCTTCACAATAATAATAACAACTTATGATTGGTCGCCGGTTACAAACAGCTGGGTGGCAAGCATTGCTAGAATATGATTCATTCCTCCCACCCCAGGATAATCCTGACTTGCAGAACTGGCCAGCAGCCATGACTAAGCTTCTAAACTTGGTGACGTCACGCGGGACTCACTGTCCACGTAACAGCAAGATCTCCCGCTAAGCCAATCAGAAGCGAGCCCTAAAGGGGAGGAGCCGGAAGGTGTCCGGGAAAAGCTGCTATCGGCGGAAGTGGGAGAAAAAAAAAAAGAGACACCGGAAGCGTGAAAGAAGGAAGTGGCTGACACCGGCTGGCCCCTGTGTGTAACCGAGAGAGTCCTCCCAGGGGTTAACATCACAGAGAGGGGAGCGGAAGAGAGAGGCGGACGGGAAATACCGAGAAGGGGGTCCGGGGACACAGAGGGCGCGTCACTGCCTGCTGCAGGCCCCGAGCCTGTTGTCCGGTCACATTGATAGACGTCACCGGAGCGGCCACAGAGGAGCCCGGCTAACCCCGTCCCTGCCTGTGTGAGAGGTGAGTGTGTGCCCTGGGCCCTCTGTAACGGATCCCGGGGTCATTGCCAGGCTGGGTCACCTCGTCCAGAGACGATGGGGAGCTCCCAGAGGGGGGTCGTTATACTAACTGCCAGTCTCCCCAGGGCCTGTGCACGGATCCCCGCAGTGAGTATAGGATTGTCAACACCTTCTCAATGGAAATAGAACACAACCCCTTCCTTCTCTTCACATGGGACCCCAAAAATGTTTTTGCCCCTGTTCACCTCTGAGCGTTTTGTCCCATGTTTCCCGAAGCGCGTCAATGCTCAATATTAATAATGTTATTCTTTTTAATGCGTCTGTTCATCCCTGAGTGTTTTTTCCCATGTTTCCCGAAGTGTGTCAATGCTCAATATTTTATTCTTTTCAATGAGTCTGTTCACACCTGAGCATTTTGTCCCATGTTTCCCGAAGCGCGTCAATGCTCAGTATTAATCATTTAATTCTTTTCAATGGGTCTGTTCACACCTGAGTGTTGTGCCGCTTCTTTTCTGGCAGAATCGTCCCATAGATGTTAATGGGAGCGCCTGGAAAAGGCAAGTCATGTGTTTTGTTTTTGTGGCTGACAACTATCTCTCCTCCTAGTAACTAGCTTCCCATTGGCTAAAGCAGATATGATCAAATGTGAAAAAGCCCCTAAAACTCACAAAAAAAGCTGTAAGTTGTGTTTTTTAAAAATGTACAGCGGACTGTGTAAAGGTGCGATTCAGTACACAAAAAGGCGCCGGGTCCTTCACACTTCGCCGTCCTTCTGTGCTGCAGCAGCCCGTCTGATGCACCAGAACGGAGAAATAAACGGTCCCTCCCAGAGTGCTGGGGCATCGGCTAAAATGTAACGCAGAAGTGTGATTTGATCCTTGAGGCCACCATACCCATTAACTGACCACACAGACAGATGAATATGGAATTCAGGGGCCAGTCCTGGAGCCGGCTCCATTGACAACAACTAGAGAGAACCTCAGAAATTAGAAGCCGGCTACAGCTTTGCTCCTAAATGGTTCCCTTCTGCCTGTCTCTTCCTCTTCTGTAGCGATGGTATGTCCCTCGGCGTCCTCACATCATGTACACTATGTATAGAACGTGATGACTCGGGGACCAGAGACCACTGCAGTGGAGAGGGAACAAAGCTGGAAGAACATGCCGGCTCCAAGGATCGGATTATAACTTTTTTATTTTTCAACCTAGACAAAAACAAGCACTTAAAGAGAAATATGGGGTAAACTCCCTCTCATGCTGAGAGCTCCGCAGCCCGGGATCGATCCCGACAATACTGTCTGTATCCACCCAACTGCGTGAATGACAGCTGGCTCTGCCCATCTAGAGGCTGAGCCAGCTATGCCCACCCCCCTCTCCGTCTGTCCCTCCAGTCAGCGCTGGAGGATCGGAGAGGGAGGGGGAAATCCCTGTGGGGAGTGATGACTGACAGTCACTGCTCACTGCAGGCAGATGATGGGGAAGTGAGTGAGCGACGGTATGCGTTAGCTCACTTCCCCATCAATAGAGCTGACTTGTGACAGTTTCAGTGTCGCACGTCTGCTCCTACTACGGGAATGAGTGTAATTCACGCTCCCCATAGTTCTCATTTTAACCCTTGCAGACTTCTGCTATAATTTTTAAGGAGCATTGGTGACCTGGCTCCTGGGATTTGTCCAGCCTTGCCGTCAACTTTAGATTTACCACAACTGACACGAGGACCTAAATTTATCAGAAGAAATGACCCGTGACATAGACCAGCAAACCATAATTGCAGGAAAAGAAATCGTTCACTTAAAGGAGAACTATGGGGTCAGTGTTTTTCCCCATAGTTCTCCTTAGGGTAACGGGAGGAAATGACAGTTGATCATGTAAGGTTCACATAATATGAAGACTTAAGCTGGCCATAGATTATGCAAATTTCTGCCAGTTCCTGAATATTCGCAATGTGGGTGCCGCTGTCCACATTCTTCCGGCCAGCATCCCCCTATCAGCTGATTGAAGGGGCCGGAATTGGTGCTGGCATCCGCTGTCGGAGTACTAAGGGAACGGCGGGGGATTCCTCCACCAATGCTTGTAACTGTTGATGGAGGCGTCTGTTTTATTTTTTGTACAGCCCGTGGGTCGAACAACAACAACAAAAGAGAACTGTGAATGGCCAGCTTTACCTAAATGATCCAATCAGGAAGGTTCTTGTATAATGCAGCAGATCTATGGCGCCATTCACACGTCGCATAGCGGGAATGTGCGTTCTCTTGCCTGCATTTGCCACACAGCTGCCGATTCAATCAATGGCCTGCACGCATTAAAAACGTGGGAAAGTAGCTCATGCAGCATTTTCAGCTGCAAGTGTCCCACGTTTTATCGTGTGGGAAAAAAACGAACGCTTTAGTGGTTGCATTTGGGGTGCCATTAACAAGTAATGGCACTGTAAGCGCGTCACACGTTTTTGACACGTGTGTGCGCGCATTCACACAACATGAAGAAGTGAACCGGGACTCGAGGAGATACGGGAACATTGTAACGTTTGTGGTGAGCTTTAAGCTGCCCATACACATGCAGATTTCTGTCATCCAGCCCGGCTAACTGGTGTGGATGGAGGAATCTCCCCTGCTGGCTGTCTGAATACAGTTGTACATTGTATAAATTGTATTCAGCCAGTCGGTGTCTGCAGCTGTCAGAATACCAGAACAGGGACTGCAGCTGATTGGCTTAAAATGCATCAAGCAAAGATGTGTGTCCAGCCTTCGGCAGCAGTCCCAGCTCGTAGACAAGGCAACCTGCCTATTGTCCTACTTCTTCAGTTCACACCTACGAGCTGCATTAGTGCGCACTGATAAAAAGTAGGACATGTTGCCTTCTTACCACATACTGTAACTCATTATAATGCACTGCTGTGCATAGTTAAATAAACTCTCAGGTTGTCAGATTTAATAAAGTTTAAAAAACAAACACTGCAACATGTTGTACAATGCACCACAGCAACCCACACCTGTGGATGCACGCTGCACATACCCCAACGCACACCTACTGGGGTGCATGGGCCCTTTAATGTTACAAACACTGCATCAAGCACTGTACAGAAACACAGCCAAGCTCCCTTCTTATCTTCTCGTTGGATCAGCTCTGTGTTTTCAAGGGAGACAAAACATTCATTTCACAAAGCTAAAACACCAGAGTAAAGTAAAGATCTTTATTTTCCAAAAAGTGAGTCCAATCAGGTTTAAAAATGACAGTCACATGACTAGAATAAAGATTGTTATCCTTGTGTTAGTGAATGCAAATCCAAAACTGTTTAGCTTTGGATAAAGTATGGAATGGTACGGACCCCTGTCAGGGTAAACTATCACATCTTGAAGAATTCCATTCACTTCCTGTCTTTGAGACACAGCAGGAAATGAGACCAAATCTCTCCAGAGAGATGGTAACTCTTCTTATAGTTGCCTTTAGTACAGGTTTCCCCATTGTAAGATCTCACCTCACTTCTCGTTACTTTGGCAACTCAAATGTTGATTTCCCATCACTTTCTGTACTAGGGACAAAGGTCACCGAGGCCAATAGCTAGAGTGAGTCTCCCTGGAGGGTAGAGTGTAATCAACAGCCCCCCATTGGTCATAGTGAGCAGATTTATAACCACATAAGATACGAGGGGTGCAGGGCTCCATCAGACACAAGCGACCTGGGGGCACAGGCAGTAATAATTAAAAAAAACTTTTATCATGCCACATAGTGTAAATGGGCCGCAAATGTTACAAACACTATGACCATACACAGCTACACAGTGTGACATTTGTGAAGGTGAAGATAGTTTTATATATAAATTTATTTTTCCTTTTTACAACCTTGGTCTGTAGGTCACTGATACAGCTACCAGATTACGGCTGGAGAATCGAAATGAGACCTGTGTAGGTTTCTTAGTTAAAGTACACCTAGAGGGCCGCATATACCAGTCTGAGTTATCTGATACAGCCACTTGTAGTGGGATTTTATTGTTATCTAACATGTATAGTGACTGATTGGGGGTGATGAGTTTAAGGCTAGGTTCACACCTAGGCGATTCAGATGCTGAGCTAATTTCACGCGGTTGTTCATTGTAAACCATGCGGTTGTCGCACGTTTTTCAATGCATAGTGATCTCTTTGGATCCCAAACTGCGCGACAACCGCCTGAGAATAGCTCCTGTCCCTTTTCGCGTAACAAACAGCAAAGGTGTGAACACCCTCCATGTTTAGTTTACTACTATTTATTGAGATTGCAGTCCATCACAGGAGCGAGCTTCGAGTGGTGACTACTTTACAACACACACACAGGGACCATGGGGAACAAAAGTAGCCCCCCTCCAGAAGGAAGGACAGTGTCAGCACCAATTCAGAGATGATTTGAGGATCTACAGCCGAGTGATACACAAATAAGATACATTTTAGTTCATAGTTAAGGCACTTGAATGTATTTTTAGGATTGAACTCCTGAGTTTAGTGTCACTTTAAGTTGGGTAAAACTTGAAAGGTAGACATCTAATTGTTCTGACTTTTAGAATATTCCTTCATCTAATAAGCACACTAGTTACCATATGCTGGGTGAGTTCTGCATTGTTTAGCTCCCGCATATTTCAGATTTTTCTTTCCCAAGTGTCTGATTCATATTCTGATGTGATCTTTTGCAATCAATTTCATGACCCAATTTTGTCACGTAATTGAACCAACGTCATTTGTATTATGGAAATATGTCTTCATCTGTGGTATCTTTCACATAGCAGGAGGCTGTGTCCATGCAGCGTGACGCATTGTGAGTGTCAGATTGTACTGCTGTCTTGGACAAGTGTCGTACTTAAAAAAAAAATGGGCAAACTTTACACTTCCCTGCTGTGACTTGGCAGTATGACATTTTGCCGATCAGCTCTTTTACTAGCACAGCTTAGCAGTTCAGAGGGTACCACAAGACAGCAATGCTGCTCAGCCCTTTTTGGAAGGGGCTGCTATTGATTATCAGTTAAGCATCATCATACTG